AAAAAATTTTTTAAAAATTTTAATTTTTCATAAAAGTAAATCAGAAGGGAATTTATAGTAAATAAGTAGGTAAATTTGCTTGCGAATTTCTATAGTTTAAGAGATAAGCATAATTTGAATAAGTTAAATGAAATAATAAGTATTTTAAGGATATAATGAGTATCTTGCAGCAAAATTTCTTATTTATTAAAACTTTATAAAAAGCAAATAGAATTTAAAATTTGCATTTACAAAAAGAACATAAGACTTCTTGATAAATAAAAAAAAAATTTTTTAAACAAAATTATTTTATTAGTTATTGACTTAGTCTTGTCACATTTTTTTCAATCGTATAATATTGGCTTAGACCATAATTGACATATAAATAACATATGTGTAACTATCGATCAAAAGATCCTACCTTAAATATTCCTGTTAAAAAAACATAGTTTCTCTAAATTAACACCAAAAGATCAATACTATTAAGAGTGATGCATAATGACTATATGGGATCCAGAAATGGTTAAACACAGGTTATTTCTTATAAGAAAAGAAAACAATACATAGTATTCTATATGTATACACAAAAACTTCATCAAAATTAAAAAAAATATTATTACATAAGATACAAAAATACTTACTTTTTATTGGTTTTTCTTTTAGATATTTTTTTTGTAAAAATTTCTTTCAATTTTTTGTAAAAAAAATAAAGGACATAAACTAAAGATAAAAAAATACGCTCTGAGATAATAAAATATATAAGGGAAGGATAAAGAAAAAAGTACAAATTTGTGAGATAAGGTGGAAAGTATTAATAATAAAATCAAGAAGGATAAAGGAAAAATGATGAAATTAAATTTGGTGATAATAAAATATATAAGGAAAAAGTAAAGGAAAAGGTTAAAAGGTTAAAATGTTGTGTGAGGTGAGATGGAGAGTATTTATAATAAATCAAGAATGGTAAAGAAAAAGTTGAAATTTTGTGAGGTAAGATGAAGAGTATTTATAATAAAATCAAAGATGTGTAATATGAAATATTTATATTTACATCATATCAATTATTCTAGAGATGCATTATTAATTTTTAAAAATAAATTATTGAGACACGTTATTATTGATTATAGATTTCTAAAAATAAATTATTGAGAAACACGTTATTATTGATTGTTATAACTCATCATAGTTACAGATATCTAAAAATAAATTATTGATTGACGTATTTTATTTAATTCATCATAATTATTAATTTCTTAAAATAAACTATTCAGAGATGTGTTATTATTTCGAAAAATAAATCATTGACTGATACTTATTATTTATTGCAACAAACTCTGATTTTTAAAAATTATTGATACGTAAATAAAAAGTTTTAAAGAAAACTCTTTATTAATTTTTATTTTATAAGGTAAAGTTAAAATAAAAGTATTTATTAAATTAATTGTCAAGATTATTTTAAAAATTATCATTAATATATCAATTTTGAAAATAAATTACAATATTATTATTTTCTATATATTACAGAAAGAGATATGAAAAGCAAGTTGCAGAAAATCTGAAGAGACTCTCTGAAAAGAAGGTTGAAATAATTGATCTTTCTCACAAGATAGTTTTCTTCATTTAAAATTAAAAAAAATACACATTACATTATCTTTAATTTTGTAAGAAATTTTTTGTTAAACAATTGATAAATAAATAAAATAAAGTACTTTCCGAACAAGTAAATAAAGCTGCAAGATTAAAGGATCAAGTTGATAAATACAAACATACTGCTGATAAGCTCAGGAGAAAAGAAAATGTCATTGATAAATATAAAAAGAAATTAGAAGAAGCTGTGAATTTATGGTGAAATTATAAGGTAAAATGCAAATAAACTTATCAAAGATCATAACAATAGTACAATAATAAATCATTCAACTAAAATGATTCTACTAATCTGCCTTTAATTTTTCAGATGATAAAGAGCTTAAAATTAATATTATAAACATTTTTAAATTTGTCTTATCCTAATAGAAATCAAAATTCTAAATAAAATCATTTAGATATTTATATTAAAAGTTTTATAATATATATTTTATTAATTATTACAATTATACAGTAAATATATTGCTAAAATTATATATAAATTTATAGTTGTTAGATAAAATCTATAGTCTAATAGTTCAAATTTTAATGGAATAAGAATGGACTAAGTCTATTAGTTCAATAGTCTAATGGTCCAAAAGTCCATTAGTCCAAAAGGTCTACACTAATTATAATCAATACAAATTATCTAAGATCCAAAAAGGATCATTCTTTTGTTTTTTCACTGAAGGAAAATTCATAGTACTGTATACAAATGATAATGGTAAAGATGGTATATTAAGTCTTTTTTGAGCGATTGATTGTATATTTTTAGCCAGGTCTATTAGTGTGTATTATATAGAATATGTATACAGTTGACTCTTTATAAATGCACATCTCTTAGGACTAGGTATAAGGTACATTTAAAGAGAGTATGCACTTATAGGATATATATTAATCTATATAATACTAATGTAAAATTAAAGTAATACAAAAATTTATATTTAAACTATATAAAATTTTTTTATAAAGAGTGTATTTGCAGAGAGTATATATATAAAAAACGTGCATTTAACACTAAGGCCCAAGTTGGGACCAGATAAAAAGGTGCATTTATAAAGGGTATGCATTTATAGAGGGTGCATTTATAGAGAGTTGACTGTACAATATAAAATTCGTTAATACCAATGATTTGATGAAAAATATGTCATAGCATACATACCCGTAATGCCAAAAGATTCTGGAGAAGGCCTTCTATATCTGAGAATGTTGTAGGAAGTATAAGCGTTGCCATCTCAACAAAAAAATAAAAATTCTGTAAATTATCATAAGAAAGGGAGTAGATGGTCATAACATGAAAAATTTTGGTGAAAAAAAACTGAATGCATAACTCGAGATGTCTTTTACCCACCAGTATAGATGAGGGACGAAACCCCTTAATAACAGTCGAAACTTAGACGAAACTATATTAAAATTATAATAAGGGATATGACGAAACCTTTTCGATACGACGAAAGCCGAAACTGTCGAAACTATATTAAAAACATAGAAAAGGGTATGACGAAATTATTTTGAGGAGGTTTCGGCAGGCATCTATACCCACCAGTAACTTGGATCCCAAGAGGGAAGACCTCTTCTAGATCCATCTTCTTGAAATGTAATTTTCTCCACAGCGAACCTAAGCAATCCTTCATAATTACCTTTAGTTTTGAATGGTCTTTTCGGTACTTTGTGTCATCAATTGATCCTGAGGTATTTCCTACTTCAAGTGCTAGGATTTCGGCTTTATGACTTCGCAATGAGATGATTAAATCTATTTTTTTCATGTCAGAGGTAAGCTCAACGTATTCTTCGTGCACATCCTTTCGTTTCGATTTGTGACACTACGCGATACTTTTTCGATCCTATAATTTTTGGTTAATAAAATCATGATAAATAATATACAATGTAAAAGATATCATTACAATACCAGTTGAGCTCAAAGGTGCCAATATCGAACTCCTCTAGGAGATTGCCAATTACTGGGCCAAGAATCTTAACAACAAAGTCTCGTTCTCTTTGTTGCATGATGAGAACATTGACTTCCCTTCATAAACATTGATGGCTAAGTAGAACCTGGTCAGTATTTTCGAATAGAAAAAAAATCCAATAGTTATTTTTGTTTATACTTACAAAAATTTCATTATTATAACCGATATTTTTGCATCTATAGATTTTAAATCAGAAAACTTAGCTATCCATGATTCCAAATTATTTAAAGATCGCTACAAATATAATGATAATTAATAATTTTCGAATATACTGTGAAAATAAAATAAATGCTACATACTATTTGACCAATTTCACCACATAGCAATTCATGTACATCCTTATCGATTTTATCTCTATGGAGTTTCTTTTTAGACCTGTCAAATAATTGTGCATAATCCGGTAATTTAAGGATTCTACTCCATTTGACTTTGCTCCAGTTAGAAAGATCGACAATTCTGGATTCGATTGATCTGAAATTATTTAGTGACGCATCAATGTGTAATCACATCATATGGTAGCATAAAGATAAATCCAAAACTTTTGTTACTTATAGCAGATACTGCACTCTCAGATTATTTTTTTTCAAACATTCCATAACTTTTTTCCAGATCTCTTCAAGAGTAAATTCTGAATCAAAGATCAAGCAAGCTATCTGTAATCAGAAGTGAAAGATATTAAGATATTATACAAATATACTGCTCAAGCAAGCGATTGTTATGTAACACCTTGTTTACGATAATTTTATCCACTTCTGCATAATTTATTTGATCATTAGATTGGTTGCTATTAATATTTGTACGATCGTCCTTGAAAAGAGAAGAGATGATACTTAGTAAACTAACAACACATTAGCAGGTAAAAATTACCTCAATTTTCGGAGAATTGACGATATCTGCTTCTGCCTGGGAATTACGATTTTGTTCCGATGTAGTTTCCTAGATATTATCGAAAAGCACGATCTTACTTTTTCGAGTAGTTTTTTTGTCCTTTCCATATAGCGCGATGAGAGTTTTAATTTATTGAAATCGCCGGATCTTTTAAGCAGTTCACGGCCATTCTTATCGAAGGAGCCCGTTCTTCCTGCATCTATAAGATGATAAAAATTAATCTGTTATAATTCTGCGTCACGTAAAAGTCACCGTTTTTAAATCTAAGGTCCAGATTTCTAAAAAAATCAATAATTTCTTTTCTTTGAAATGTCTCTTCTACATTGCTGACTAATTTTTGGGCTTTTCTCTTTGTCCCGGCATGTATAAAATTGGAATTACTAATTTTTCAAACGTTCTCGCAAATGCATCGTTAATATCTTTCTTGCTATCGGAAATATATTGTAAATGTGTCTCAAGATATTTAAGACAATTTAGAACGCTCCATTCCGTTTGATCAAAGTCATATGCAAAGTCTTTAATATAATGGTCAAAATCCATAATCTAAAGAACTGTGAAAAAAAAGGTTACTATAAGTGATCTGAATCTAGGTATACTAATTCAAAACACTATCATATGGAAGATGATTATTAAAGAAGAGCTGTAACACTGGAATAGAGGACCCGGTGTAGGCATTAAAAGCCACAAGCAGTGAGTTATAATGGTTATCCGGCAGCCACTATTCCAAACATCGGCCGAAGGGCTAGACCATACGGGCGTAGGATACTAGTCTCTTGGTATACTGGATGAGAGGCCCAAGTGTAGGCATTAAGAGCCTTCACAAACATTCTTTGTAAAGAGTCATAATGGTTATCCCGCAACACTCTGATCCATGCATCGGTCGCAGGGTTAAACCTTACGAGCGTAGGATACCGTTTATTCCTTTTTTCTAGATGAAATTACTTAACTTATTAAATTACCCACAGAATGTCTTTGAATGAACGCGGATAACAGTTACGAATAAAAAAACTATCGTTGGGCAAATAAATATCTGAATCTTGGTATAATGGAATAAAATGGAATTTTTTGAAGTTTTGATAGGATTTTTTATGACACGTGACAATTAACCAATAATAATCACAGATAGGACCGAAAGACCATTGGTCCGGTCATAGGACCGGTCTTATACCAAACTTTTTTGGGACGGATCGACAGAATTGGATCATAGGTATTTTTCATTAACGGTGCCTGTTACTTTTACTTCTACTTCACTGATGTCAATCAATTTGTTGTCTTCTATAGGCATATCGAAGCCAGTCTAAAAGTGCAATAAATGACGTAAATAATCTATTATTTTATGTTTAATTATGTAAAATATGTTATAATAAATAATTACCTGTTTGGAGCCAGAATTCGTTGGCCATTTTTTTCGTATTTCTGCTTAAGTGTATACCATTTAATTTGGCACTGCGTAGCTGTCACTCGATAATTATAATTATTTTGGATATGGTTTGCTATCTTTGTTCATAAATGATTATACCTTGTTAAATCCTCAAATCATTGGTGATGACTTCGTCATTGCTAGATCAACGCTAAAGTAACATTAAAAGGTCATTGAACAATAACAGGTGCTGGTGCTACTTGTGGTGGTGGTGGTGATGCTGCCATCTTAGTTTCTAGTTAATAGAGAATTAAGGAAAGACTGTATTTATATATCTTTTCAAAAAAAAAAATTTACTATAATTAACATCATTAATGTAATCTTAAATTTTTTTTTTGAATCTTACATATTATTTATTTATTCCAACTAATTGATCAGTTCCATAATCCTTAATTAAATATAAAATTATGCGCAAGATAAGAAAAAATTTTACTAATATATATCGATTATATAAATGTACATATACATGAATTCATACATCTTATATTTCTATATTTACTATTATAAAAATAACATTCTGTATAATTAAATATTAATTTGTAATTAATTGCAAATTACGTGAAAATTTATTACCATTTTAGTTGATAAATTATATTTTAGTATCAGTGTATCAGTGTAACTAATTACAATATATTTATTAAAGATATCAAATATATTCACTCACAATCATCATCTCTTATTAAATTATTTATAACATAGTCTAAGACACTCTTTTCACTTATCTTACTATTATCGTCTGCATTGTTATCCCCTTTATCATCCCTTTTATCATCTCTTTCATCATCACTCTTATAATACTCATCAGAATCATAGAATATATCATTTAAAATGTCGCTGATTTCTTTAATGATTAATTTATGTGATAAATCAACAAATTTGTTAATCTATACATTTTCAATTAAAATGATACAATTATCTTCTAAGATTTCTTTACCATCTATAATACTGTAAGTAGAAGGGATTTTATCATATTCTTTTCATCTATTTCTGCAAAAGCTTCTGTAATATATAAATTAATCTCTTCATTACTAAGACGAGTTTGCTTTTTTTGATCTATTTTATAGAATCTGAATTCAATACTAAAGTTTAATTTTTAATATGTAATTAATTTACACATTGACTCTAATCATTCTAGTTTAAGATTTAAATGGTATTTGTAATAAAACCAACTAAGAATAGAAAAATCTTATTTACAACTTGCTGAATTAGGAGAAATTGTGAATAAATAATATGCAATTTAGAAATACGTCAAATTCTGATTCTATGTTGATCATTTCTCACCATTTACTAGAATTATCTTAAATAATTAAAGGATCAAAATCAAATAGATCCTTTTCATCCTTGTACTTTATCAATTGATCACATAAAACTTCACATTTATAATAATCAAATTCTAGCCTTTTTCTAATAGATGCAATACATTTCAAAATTCTTTTAAAAGTGCATTTTTTTAATAGAACATATTTAAACTATAAATTCAGAAAAAACAAATGATGTAATTATTATCATTAAACTCTTCGTATTTTTTTTTATCACTCTAATACAATATTTCAAAATGTAAGATTAAATAATTGTATTAATTTTTTAAAGCTGCTGCAAGTTGTATAAAGCTTAAAAAACATTTACAAATGTAGCTGATCTGGATTCTAAAGCTAATATTGCTTTTTTTAAAGGTTTCAAAACAAATGAAAGAACTCATAAATTAGAAAAAATATTTCATAATCAAATAATTGTTGTAATTCTATTATTTGCTAAGATCAATTGATAGCAATTAAAAAATTCTTTAAAGGCTAATTCTAAATTGATTATTGACTTTACTAATTTGCTAGCAGTATTTTAGTATATCTTATAATATAGCTTTAATCCTTCATTATTGATTCCCTTTTCTTTGATTAATTAAGCAAGTTTAGAACTAGTCTGATATAAAATTTTAAAAAATAATATTAATGTATTCACATTATAATAAATGATCACTAAATATTTCCTTCATAATATTACATATAATAAAATTAATAGCATATGCTATATATTATATATTCTAAATTCTTGAAAATTTTTCTTGAATAATCTTATGCATTTTTTAAATATTTAATGTATTATCAAATACTATTACTGAATCTGATCCACTTCTATTTTATTGATAAAATTTTCGATTATATCTACTAAATATTTATCAATGTGTCTTTCTTTTAACAAATCTGAAATTTATATAAATATTCTTTGCAGAATGGTATTGTAACTATGAAGTTTCATATTGAACAATTGGTATTGAAAGTTTAACCATCAAATACTAAGAAAGTAAGAATTAATTATAAAAATAATTATAATATATTAATATAATAATTTAACAAACCTAATATTAAATGAGTTTCTTTTTCAAATTCAGACTTATTTTAGAGTTTACTTAAGCTAATTCACATTCAAATAATTGATCTGATAAAATTGTTCTCATTAGTGGGTTATAACCAACATTAAACTCTTTTATTAAATTAATAAAAAAAGAATGTTTGACAATTCAAAAAGAAATTCCTCAAGCAATAAAAAATTTAACCAATATTCAATTAATTCTTGTAATTCTACTTTCACAAAGTTCTGTAGAATCAAGATAATTGTTTATACTCTGCTGCTCATATTTAAGCTTTTTTTTCTCTGAGGGTAATTTATCTTGTCATTCTATTACCTTAATCATATACTTTCTTATAACTGCTACTAGTATATTTTAGCAATAATTAAAAAGATACTCTTCAAATTTTAAATTTTAAATTTTACTACACTTTTATTATATATTACAATATTTATAAGAAGCAGCAAATTTATTAGAGCAAATAGAGGTTTCTTTATTAATATCCTTCTAAATGCTATTAGGTGATCAATCTCATTTATTTTTTTTGAATAGAAATAGGCTCAATAAACATTTTTAATAAGATTTTCTTTTACTTATATTTCAAGAAAAAATAAATAAAATGAGTGTAATATTTTATCAAATATATACAGTACATTGCATATTAAAATATAATAATTAATAACATATATAATATATATATATATTACAATAAAGATATTGTGGTAAAGAAATTCTGCTAAAGAAATTCTACTAAATAGAAAAATGATCCTATAAAATGTTTATTTAGATTATTAAATTATAATCTTTGATCAAGGCTAAAAATAGAAATCAAAATTTACTGGCTAAAGAATCAAAAAAAAAATTTATCAGTTTTTTCAGATTCTACAGAGGGTTATCATAAGTTTCTGAACATGACTTTTGAAATACTATTGCTATACAAAAAAGGTAATATTTATTATATAAATATGGGTTGTTTTTATTTATTTGTCTTAAAAAACATTTCTAACTTCATTTTTTCTTTTTTACTTTATTTTTTTTTACAAATTGTGGTTACAACTGTAATAATGAGAAAAAATAATAAATTGATTACAAAATAATAAGGTATCATATTTTATCTTTATAAAAATGGCAATTCGTATAATCAGATTACAGAAACTGTTTGATGTGACAAAATAACAATTTATGATACATTAAAAAAGCATGCTAAAACTGAATCTATTGATTCTAAGCTTCATCCTGGATGACTGCATCTGATCGATATCACGAATCACAATTGGCTTAAATATTTAGTAACAAATGAAAAAGCATAAAATTGACAATTATATACTACTAGAATAAAAAAACTATGGAAAAAAAACAAGTTAGAATGTTTCAGAAATTACCATTCGTTGTACCCTTTATTCATTTGAACTAAGAAGTTATATTACATAATGAAAATCTCTCATTTTATTAGTAATAAAAAGGCACAACTTGCATAGTGTTTAGAATATGAAAGTTAGACAAAAAATGATTAGGCAAAAGTATTATGAAGTGATAAATCAACCTTTACTCAATTTCAGCAAAGTTGTACTAGCAGAGTATAGAAAAAACCAGAAGATGAATAGTCACTCTCTTGTGTTTTAGTCATAATTAAACACAGCCCAAGCCACATATTTTGGGATTATTTTTCACGAAAAGGGATAGGACTGATTATACTACTTCATAGATCAGTAACTAGAGCTACTAACATTGAAATACTGTGAAAATATATTTTATTTATAATGAAGTGCATGTTTTTAAAAAACAATAGTTTGTTTCAAGAAGATAATGCTAGATCTTACAAAACAAAGGTTGTATCATCATTTTGTATAGAAAAAAATCTGTACATTCTTTCTTGATCTACTTAAAGCCTAGACTTTAACTCAATTAAAAATTTATAAGCTAAAGTAAAAAAGAAAATTAGAAATAAAAAGAAAAAGCCAACTAACCTTGCTGAATTTAAAAGGGATGTTAAAAATGCATGAAAAGTAATTCTAAAATATCTGATCAAAAATTTAGTTGATAGTATGCCAGCACAAATCTAAGCAGTGATTACAGCAAAAGGTAGCCCAATTAAATACTAGTTTAATACTACAAAATGTAGGTTTTGATAAGCTTAAAATAAAGTTTTAATAAAGTTTTTTTGATTGAGTTTTAAAAATTAAGCATTTTATATTTTATAAAAATTTGTTCAAAAACTTTTGATAACCCTTTGTATTAAAATTTGCCAGATATATACAGTAGTAGTCATAAGTATCCGACCACCTGAGATCATCCAAAATTATTATATAACTACCTCTTAAATTTTCCAGAAATATAATTTAACACAATATATGATCACCTGTAAATTT